AGCTACTTTAAATTATCTCACCTCAGGCTGAGCTCAGCCATAGCCCTAGAAAGGCACAGCTCTGTATGACAGATGCGGTGGTTCGTTCAGCTTATGCTAGGTCTGTTATGTGCCTGTAACTATACATTACCACGAAGTTAATTTTTAGTCGATACTGGAAAAGTTAGGACATTACTCTACTTTTTCAGTATTTCTGGAACTTGTAGCACTCGAGCATAAGCTATTTTAATGTGAAGTTATGCACTCATTGTGCAGTTACGAAACTCATTTGTGGAGTGATAAAATTTTATCACTCCACAGTGACCAAGAATAAAAAAGATTTCAACATTCTTCAGCGTACATAAATGGTTTTATATAAATTTTTATTGATAAATCAGAAAAATCATCCATATTACCTGTAGAGCTAAACAATTTATGCTTAGTGACTAGAAACTGTTTAAAACTATCATTAAATCTCCTCAAAAAAGTATAAACTAAGATTTTTTACCAGACTCCCGCTCTTTATTCCACTGACTGGGACACCATGAGCTATGAGCAATGATAAATTTTTCTTAGAATAGCCACTGCACTCAGGCCAGCGAATACTACCTTCACTTTGGCTAAAGTAGATAAGCTAGAGATAAGTATGGAATTTTGTTATCTTTCACAAAGCGAATATAGTAATAGCTGACTTGGTTCAAATATAATCATCCTGGAAATGGACCTACTGCACGAGTTATCTGCAAGCACTGTCTGTGGAATAGGTGAGCTACAGCTATGTAGTAAAGTGACCGAGCATATCTCGAAAAGCAGTGTATCGGAAGATTGCTTTTAGAAAATAGAATAACTATCCACATATAGGTGGTGTTTCATGGAAAACAAAGAAGGTAATTTTATGTGTTATTGTCTAAAAAGATAGTGACGGAAGTTACACGCAATACACGCTATTTTAAGTTCAACACCGAAACGTACTTGCTCAGACTATAATATATTTGAGAAAGGAAATATTTCAGTAATGGCTTTTATAATGGACAGACAGCTATGAAGTTAATAGCTGGAACACTGCTAGAAACAGTATGCGAAAAATAGGTAATTGGGACTCTTAGAATAGCTAGCATTACTTCAATTGCTCCATTTCTCCACGCAAAAACATTGCTTCTAGAATCCCTGAGGTTACTGGTAAAAAGATTGTAGTAACAGTCTTATATACATACACTAGGAGAAAGATTTCGATAATCTTCTGACTGAGCATGTAAGCATAGTTAGAAATATTTCTCTACCTGTGTATAAAGATTCGATAAGAAAAAAATATAATAGCTTGAACATCCTCACTGTTCAGGGGAATAACTTGCATGGTCTCGTTGATTTCTTGCTTATACAAGGTTGAACATGGGTCTAGGTAAAATTTAGACATTTTTCAGCAACTGTGTTTATTGCATTTTCAGAGGATTGAATACATTATATTAAAACGATTTTAAATATGCAAATCAGCAAGCCACGTGACAGTTACATACAATATATAGCCACGGTGGAATGGTATACATCAAAACTAAACCTTGACGTTATTTTTTTTTTTGTTTCATTGGTAGTGTGATGCCACTGAAAATAAACCAATTTTGGGAAGGGTGTGTAATAACCTTTTCCGATAGAAAATTTTAATATTTTTCTTGTCGTGTCCATCTATCCCTATATGGTTTCCATCTAGTGCTGTTTACATCTAATTGCATATGCACTGGCTACAGTGAAGTCTTTTGCTGTGCATGGGACCTTGAGTTGTGGCCAGACAAGAATATTTTGCATAATCTGCCTCTCACCACAGTCACATGCAGCAGGCCTGTTGGACTACCCCCATTTCACTATGTTGGACCTAGACCTGCTGACCTGGGAACGTAGGTAAATGAGGGCTTTCCAGGTGCTCTAGCCCTTTTCTGCTCTTCTGGAGAGACGCTCAGTTGATGTTATACCCATGCTTGTGTATGGAATCTCTTGCAAGTAGAGTCTTCATATTTCTTCATGCGTGGTCTCTGCTGTAGTGTCCAGTGGTTCAGTTGAAGTGCAGATACTATACCGTGATGTAAGGTGCTTCTTTACTTTCACACATTCATATAAAGGGTGTCTTCTGTCTGGTGGGGTGATTCCAGCTAGCATGTTCAGGCTGTTTGTGTTGGTTGGCTTTAGGTAACCTGTGATGATTTGGCGGCTGTCATTGAGCATGGAGTTGAAATGTTTGGTGTGAATTGAGCATTCCCAAACTGACCAGTCATACTCAGAAGTAGCAAAGTGCAACACTGAGATCGTGAATGTTGTAATATTTCGTGTTGGTTAATTTCCTAATGGTGTTGTTACGGGAGCTAACTTTGGTTTCGGTCTTTCTGATGTGGTCAAGAGTCACTCCCAGGTACACTGGATATGGGCAGAAGTCCAGGTGTGTGGTGTTCTATTTGATGATGAGTTATATGTTTCCCTTATGGTTTTGCAGGTGGAAGAGACTGACTTGCAGTGCTAGTTGGTCAGCCAAGATAGTGCTTCAGACAGGGTTTCTTTGATTTGGATGAAGTTACTGGCTTGCACAGCAATAGTAAGGCCGTCAGTGTAGGCACAACTGCGCATGTTGGGATGTATGGGCTGGTCATTCATGTAGATGCTGGAAAGGGTAGGGGATTGAATGCTCCCCTGTGGTAAACTATTCCATCGTAGTCTCTATTGGTTGCATTTTCCTTTTAGTTGAACATAGTTTATGTAAATTCACCATGTTATATGCTCCCGAGAAGTCAAAGAATATGACACCATTTATCTTTTAATTTTTGAAGCCATCTTTGATGTTCTGTGTGAGATTGAGAACCAGATACATGCATGATTTGCTTGGTCAGAGTCCAACATGTTCTAGGATGAGATTTTCTTCGATGATTGAGGTCAATCGGTTCAAAATGTGGCATTCATACACTGAAACATGTCTTACCCCAGTCATGCTAAGCAACATGTGGCATCTTATAACAAGTGATAATCCAACCCACACAATAGTGACAAAAGCAGTCCACGTACCACAGCCAACATTAAGCAATATAATAAAGAAGGATATCATTCTGTAAACATGGCCAATAGACTATGGTTTCACCAAGATAAGGCTTCTAATCATACATCCCATTCAACTCTCAAATACCTCAAACAGATGGAAAATAAAATTCGTGCTATCCCATGTAAAGACATACTGATCAAGTTGGCAGATGTTGTATCTACGGGTTTCTGGGCTATTAGGATACTAAAACAGGTGCTGGAAAGTTATCATCCTCATAGAGTAGATGAATTATTGAAAACATGCAGAGAGGATTGGTATGTTTTGAGCGTGACATCATTACACCAAAACATTTTCTAATGGAAACTATGCTAAAGGGCTATTGCCACTATGAATGGACAAGACGTGGCAATATGGACTGTGATGATGCTGTGAGGCCCTAAAATCATTTTAAATATTATGGCTGAGAATGAGTGATCCTAATCAGAAGTTAAGATTGCTTGACTTTACGTATAACCTATCAAACCACGTTCTTTGTTTTAATTTTATTTCAAAATAAACATTAGTTTTAGTTGTAGAGTACAGTACGTGGCTTCATTGCTACTGGTATCAATCCTAAGTGGATAAGCAAATCTAACTGTCATGTCCACTAGAACTGGCTTATTGCTGCCTGTTTTTGGTTTTCCTGAGACACAATAATCACGGTTTGTTTAGTTATGAGTATATATGCTAAGTTGTAGAAAATATTCATTGCACAGTTCTTTAGGGCGTTTCTGTTGGGTAATAAAATATTTCATGGAAATTTGATTGGACCCGCCATATTCTAATTTTTATTTCCACACACAAAGTAACTGCGTAGCTTAAAATCAGTAGGATACACACGCGGGTGATAGATTTCACTCATTCTTGAATGTGGTTATGTTTCTAGTTTTTAGCACAAAACTACACAATGGGTAGTCTGTACTTTGACCACTGCGGTAAATCGAATCCTTGTAAATCCAGAAACTTACTACCGACCCACCGTGAAATGAATGTGGGTATGTTAGCAAATGTTCCTTAACCTGTAACCCCTTCGTAAAAGTAACTTTGCTAAGAGTCTATTTTATCTTATATTATCTGATGAGCAAACTATGAAACATTCATTTATATGCGTGGTATCACTTTCTGGATATTTTGCCCCCAGTGACACAGCGGTATGTCTGCGGACTTACAACGCTAGAAACCGGGTTTCGATACCCGTGGTGGGCAGAGCACAGATAGCCCTTGTGTGGCTTTGTGCATAATTCAAAACAAACAAAACAAACTGGATATTTTAAAAGGTCTAAGCGATCTAGAAATCTTTTTATAGTGCACACACACACACACTTGTTTTGAAAATAAGATAAAACTCATCTTTCTAACAATTTGTTTAAAAACAAACAAACATATATACAACTGTCTTGTATACAGAAAACAAATGTGTAACTAATATTAATAATAAAAAATATATAAGAAGTTGGGAAAAAATGACTAGAAATTTGCTTAGTATACATTCAATAAATTACGAAGTTTCCAGAAAATGTATCAAATATCACAAGTGATAAAACATTATAAAACATATTCAGAAACAAAAAAAAATAAATATATATATATATCTGTAATGACCAGTAATAACAACCATACTTAATTTAATAACTTTCTTTAGACATCTCGGGAATAAGGATATTTTAACAGTCTTTAAGCTAAAATTCATATCTATATGTTGTTTTTTGAAGAATACCTTTACAATTATATATATTTTTACTTTAATTTAAAAAGTAAAAGAATCAATCTATAGAAGCGATGATATGTTTTTTAAAAAAAGGAAAGTTGATGTAGTAACCCTACATTTACGATCAAGAGTACAGGATTGTATACTATAGAAGAGTTATAGGATAAGTGTAAATAACATACAATAAAACATAAGCTAACATCAGTTATCAGATTCTTCGTTTACAAATAAGTAACTACCTAAATATTTCATACTTACGTGGTTGATTAAAAAACACAAGCTATAGATAAACTTCTTATTCAAGGCCTGTAACTTAAAATAGTTCTAAGATACTTGCTCTGGATATGTAAAAATTCAGTAGGAAACTTCAGTCTAGAAAAACTCTACTAAAGCTATTTTTGTATGAAATACACAGTCTATGAGACGTGAATTCTAACCGATGAAAGGTCGAGACAGGGTAGGAGACAGTCCCAGCAACCCTTGTCCAACTGCTAACCGCTTTACTAACCAAGCATGTCGCTAGCCTCTGCTGATAATACACAGCGCATAAGTTAGCAATGCCGCCCGTTTCTCAGTGTTTGTCTTACGGTAGTTTCAATTTCGTGCAGTTGAACCACAGCCTTTCTCTTTATAACTTACGCGTTGCTAGCGTCTATAGAAAAACCTGCCCCATTTCCGGGCAAAAGAAATATTTCCTTCTAAAACACAAGCTATTACAATTGGACAAGGTCAAGAGCTATGGCAATACGCTCAGTGAATACTGAATTCATAAACAGATTTGTTGAAAAGTATGTATGTCAGCTAATGATTGGTAAATGGTATGCACATCGGTAAAATTGGAGAAAACATCATTTTATTAATAAAAACTTGATACTTCTCTGTTGTTGTTGTTTATCAACATAAGAATTAATAACTATATTCACGAGTATGTTTATCAGAAATAATATTTTATCATTGTTAAAACTAAAACGCAATCACAGGTATTAAATTACTGGAGAGTGAGCGTTAAACTGTGTAACAATGTAACATCATACTAAATTAATTAAAACACTATATTTCAAAATCGAAAGTAGTTTTACGAAAAGTTGTCAAGCGCTCGTAAAGGTGGGAAATCCAAAGATTTGCATTTTTTATTTTTTTATTTGCAAGGCAGATGGTCCAGAAATAAAAGTACACCAAACTTTTGGATTTCATCAGCATTTAATCTTTTCAGAATAATGGAAAATTAATTTATTAATGGGATATTACAATGAATCACTTTTTATTAACTTACTACTTAAACAAATGCAAATTAGATTTTTGAATTGTCGGTACTGCTAAGAGTTATAGGAGGTAAGAAAATAGTTTCTTAAAGGGGAATTAAGAAATTTGAGACTGCAGTATAATATTTTAGATTTACCGTTTCTTAAGTATATGGCAAAATACACACATGCCATAATTATATGGCACCGCACCCAAACATTTTACTGATATTTCTAACAGTTAATGTCACTGGCCAGAAGACACATCAGTATTTTGAAATTTATTAAGATTGTGTACAGATATTCAGATTCTGTGCTTGATGAATAATTTGCTATGGAACTGAGACATCCTTTTGATATAGCAAGGCAGCAAGACAGTTGGTATTCACTTCCGGCCTTGAAAGAATTCCTAAATAATCTAGAAGGAATAATGCAGCAAGTACACTGTGAAATTGTCCAGGAAGAATAATTCAAAACTTGAAAATATTCTAACCAAGAAACACCGGACATTTTCCTGAGTATAACGAATAGCAGTATTACAGTTGGGGACATCAGCTACTATAAAAACAGCAGAATGCGAAACGTAATCATGATAACAACTAAAAAAGGTTGAATCCGTGATTTCAAAAAAGATGAAAAAAGTAAACTGTAATTGTAGGTTTGCCACTAAAAGAGAAGTTTAAAAGATTATTCAGGAAAACCTATTACAACACAACAAAACTGAGGCAGAAGTGGAGGAATACTAGTAATGATCAGTTAAGAAATAAAAATTATTTCTAATCACAGAAAGAAATGTTAGCTAAGACGAAAGCAACTGGTTCTGACAATTATTCATTACCTCTTAAAATTAGATATTTATTTTACAAATGGATGAATATAGAAAGTTTGGTGCTTGCTGTTAAGGTTCTATGACAGCAAAACGTTTGTTGTGCAACATATATGGGCTACAGACGTTGAACAAGGGTAAATTTTAGAGATAGATTTCGCCGTATGCGATAAAAACATACAAGCATGCTATTATTTAAGCCAATTTACATATCTAGTGATGAATATAAATTAGGAATGGCATGAAGAGCAACAGATTGAGCCTAAAATAATGTCTAGAATATATTTAGAGGGGAGTAATTAATTCAAGAAAGTCAAGATGCTCATAATAAAAATGACAATTTTAGGTGTGTTGTAACGCAGAGCACACCACTGATTTAAGGGACCACTGATATTTTCTCCAAGTATACCAGTTAGAATTTAAATTAGTAAGAACATGCTGACAAATCTGGGTTCTGACATAATACAGCGTGACTCTGTAACCGAACGAGGTCCGTTTTTTGTTTTTTTTTAAGTTGGGTCATCGCTACGAAGAACCATATAAGCTGGTAAACCAGTAAGAAAATGCTGACAAATCTAAATTCTGACATGATAATACAGCGGGACTCTATAACCGAACGAGGTAGGTATATATCTTCAAAGTTGGGTCAGTGATAGGAAGAGCCTCATAAGCCGATAAATGAAATCAGCATTTTAATGTGTTATACTTTATAGAGTAAGTTGTTCATTGCGTCCAGCTGTGGAGATTGATGAGAGAGAGTTTACTGGTTATCTACCGGTTTCGATACCCGTGCTAGGCAGAGTACAAATAGCCCATTGTATAGCTTTGCGCTTAACAACAAACCACTAAAAAAAAAAGAACCATAAGAAACATCAATAAATGAAGAAATTAGTATATATATATATATATGTATATATATTCATTCTGGTAAACTGTTGTGTGGAGAATCCTGCTGTGATAACGCTGAAAACAAAACAAAACATAACCAAATAATATATTTACAAAACATAGATTCAACTTCTACGTCAACATTTAGGCGGTGTATATATATATATATATATATATATATATTATCTTATATTGTTTGTTTTAGAAAAACATCGCTAGTATCTCAGCATGCTGCACAACGCATTTACTAAGGTTAGCTTTACTTATTTGCTATAGTTAGCTTCACTTAAATCTTTGCTTCATATTTTTGATTTAAAATCCATAGGTACACGTTTTTATTTATAATTCATTGTTTTTTTCAACTTACATACTTTGATAACACCTTAACAAAGTTTGCGAATTGCTACACAAGCACTGTTTGCGCTAGCCGTCTTAATTTTGAATTGATAGATCAGAAAAAAGGAAGATAGTCCACAGCACCTACCGCCGACTTTTGTGCTACTCTAACCGAATAGTGGTATTTGATCTCACTCTTATAAAGCACCCACAATCTCGAAGTGCGAAGATCGATTTTATGGAAACGGGACGAAAACCATGGCTCTTCGGGTTTACAGTTCAGTATGCTACTTACTAGTCTATATCTGGTCCTTTTCTTTTTATGATTCAGAAAAGAGCAGGAATATTCATATACATGTGGGTCTTTTGGGGGATGTTTTTCCACACAAAAATAAGAAACCCTATACCCTGAGCTCTTTTGAAAGGTTAAGGCGCTCGACTCACAATCTGAGGGTCGCGGGTTCGAATCCCCGTCCCACCAAACATGCTCGCCCTTTCAGCCATAGGGGCGTTATAATGTGACTGTCAATCCCACTATTCGTTGGTAAAAGATTAGCCCAAAAGTTGGCGGTAGGTGGTGATGACTAGCTGCCTTTCTTCTAGTCTTTCACTGGTAAATTAGTGACGGCTAGCGCAGATATCCCTCGTGTAGCTTTGAGCGAATTTCAAAACAAAAACAATCTTTTGAAAGGTAGACCTTTCTTTACCAGGGACAGTCTTTAAGATATATTTATATAGGGGTAAGTGCTTTAAACAAAAACAAGTACGCCATTATATAATTGGTAGGTTTTCCCTTTGGATTAACGGTAAGTTTACGAACTTACACCGATAAGATCCGGGCACAATTCTCCACGGTGGACGTAGCAGATACGTAGTCCAATTGTGGCTTTGCTCTAAAGAACAAACAAACAACTATTGGTTTTGCTTTTTTTAAAAGAAAAGCCACGTTGGCCTATAGAGGGGAATGGAACCCCGGACTTTAGCGTTGTAAATCCGTAAACTTATCTCTGTCCTACTGGGGGACAAGTATTTGGTAGTATTTTATTTTATTACAACTTACGTATTGCTCAACAGATGGCACTCATTAAAGAGAACAGTGTATTTTTACATTTTGCTTCGATAAATTCTATAAAGGATTTTTTTGCAATTAAAATATATAAACTACATATCAATACAGATTATAATTTACAATATTTTTTTCTGAGACACTAAAGCCCGAAAAGGTATAAGTTTACACGGAAACATAATCACTTCTTGTATGATAGATAAGACTGAAACAAGCCAGCTGTCTTGGGGTAATTAGAGGAAAATACATGCCAACCATCAAGCCCAGGTGGAACATGTAAGCTTATAAGAGTTTGACAAAAACCATTTGTTTTTTGCTTTTTTCACAATCATGAGTATTCTACTAATTTGGAAGTTGTCACATAAACAAACCTTGCTTTTTTTGTTTTAGAAAATGAAGCGTAAAATCATGTTTTTAATTTAAAACAAAACTTTTTTATAAGCAGGTATCAAACTGTTTTATCTCATTTTTTTAAATACTGAAAGCAATGAAGAGGTAAAACTAAAATTGTATTATACACAGAAATCTATCTAACAATGAAAAATTTCGTTGGCATGTGGCACTTAAAACGTGTTAAATATTTTTATTTAGTACAGACTAAATATTTTGAAAAATTGAATTATCATACAAAATTCCCTAAGCATATCAAAACGGTATTTTGCTGAATATATCTTCTAGATTCTAGAGTTAAAACGGAAAAAAATATGCCAAAATATGTTATCAACACTGCATCTGCCATATTTCATGCATAACATGAAAATACATTACAAATACAATACCAAACAAAACATGTTCACCGTGCTTGTCTCACTAACCCTCAATAAAATATAGAATATTTTCTTGATCAGTGAAAAGATAAGCTAAACTTGTGAAAACAACTAAATCCAACACCTGAAGTCATACATTGGTGAACTACTATTTTGTTAGGTGAGATGATAAGATGTTCTTTAAAATCTACATCTATGAAAACTTTGTTTTAGCTGACCGTAAAATACACATAGTGGATGGTGCTT